GGAAGGGATATTCAGAATGCATGCCATCTTGGGGTGGGAAGAGGGGGGAGATGGGGTATAAATTTGGAATTCAAAAACTTGTGGGGAGTGAATGTTGAAAGCTAAAAATAAATAAATTTATATTAAAAAAAATTAAAAAGAAAAAAGAAAAGAAAAGAAAAAGGATTAGACTTCTTCCACGTGGCCCCAGAGGAAAGAACTACAACCACTAAGGTGTAAGTCATAGGGAGATATAACTTACTAAAAATGAGAGCTGTTCAAAATTAGGATGGGCTATCTTGGAGCAAAGCAAGTTTCTCCATTACTAGAGGTTTTTAAGTGAAGGCTGAGATGTTCTATATAGGGTTCTTAATTTGGTTAGGGGTTGAACTAAATGAGTCCTGAGGTCCCTTCCAAGATTGTATGATTCTATGGTATATAAAGTGGTCAGGAAATAACCAGGTTTTACTGGGTTAAGGGCAGTTATTCTGCATTAAAAATAGACTAGGCTTGGTTTCCTCACAGAACTGAGCTAACGCGTAGTATTTTACAAATGGAAACACAAACAAGAGTTGGCAGCCCTAGTGGACTAAGTCATTTCAAAACCCAAATGAAAACTCATTTCATTTCCCTTGGTTTCCTCAACTGTAAAATCAGGAGGTTGAACTGACAGCCTAAGCTCCTATGAAATTACCAAACTGACATAGCTATTCTTCATATCAGAATCCAGATTTAGATCAGGAAGATCTTAAAGGTCATCTGGCCCAACCTTCTCATTGTATGGAGGCCAAGTGTGATTCAGTGATTTGCCAAAAGTCACACAGGTAAGTGGCAGAGTTGGGACTGGAACCCAGGTCCTCTGCTCTAAATCCACTGTTCTTTCCACTATAGTACTGAAAACTTACTAAGTTATGGTGGCCCAAGAACTCTGGGCCATTTGGGCCCAGGGCGAAGCCATGAGGAAAAACTTTAGAACCACCATCATACCTACGATTGCTAAGAGTAGGATTTGGTTTGGCTCCCCCTTGGGAGCCCTCTGACATGAGATTTTAAATGTTTTTTTCAAACCAGAAAAGATTAGTAAAAATAGCAGCTGTCTTTCCCAAGTCCCCCGACAACAAATACACCCCCTCAAACTTTACCATGGTGAAAGGAAGGAATCTGACACCATCAGTCTGACTGTGGGTCATGTTGAGCAAGGTCACTCTTTGGACTCTGCTCTCCCTCCCTTGCTGCCTTGGTGAGAAATCACTTCAGTAGCCAGAATGTTGGACTCTAATTTTAGTTAAGAGTATCTAGGACTCATATAAAAGGAATTTTCTAACTTCACCTAATTATTGCACCACAGATCTAGAGTCAGAAGAGGTCTCAGAAGCCATCTCATCCAATACCTTCATTTTACAGGTGAGGAAACTGAGGCCCATTGAAGTTAGGTGGCTTGCCCAAGGTCACACAGGTAGTAATATCAGAGGTGTCACTCGAACCCAGGTTCTCTGACTTTAGAGCTCTTGTTTTTCCAACTGTACCACACAGCTTCTGCTGATGAGAAGACGAAGGTCCAGAACTGAAGTATCTCCTCCAAGATCACAGAGTGAGTTAGCATCAAGGCCTGGACTAGAATCCAGGCCTCCACAACCTGCCCCTCCCCCACAAGTGCTGTATTTTTTGTTGTTTTGTTTTTCACAGCACCAAAAAACAATCAGAAATGTTCTCATTGACAAGAAGGCAAAGGCAATACCAATTTCCCTAAGGTTATACAAAGAGGCAGCTGAGAACGGACCTTGTAACCCTGGCTATCGCCCATATCATAGCATCGCTGCTGCTTAAAAAACAAACAAACCAAAAAAAAAATTCGTACAACGGAATAGACAAGAGAGGACATCTTTGCTTTAAATGATTTTATTAAAAATTGTACCAGTTGAAAAAAAGACTCCATATATATATATACACATATATATATGCGTGTGAAGAACATAAAGGCAGTATACTGTACAGATACAAAACAGGCTCCCTTTCCCCAATTCCCCTCCCTCTTCCCCCTCCCCCAATTCTCCTTCCCTCCCTCCTTCCCTGCCAGGTCGCAGGAGGCAAAGGGCAGAGTCCTGCAGCTACATCAGCAGGGGGAACACAATGCTACATTCTCACTGGGTCTCCATCCACAGCAGAGAAATGGGGTCTATGCCTCTTGGGAATAGCCCAGTTGGTGTGGATTGAGAGGGAAGAAGACAGGAGGTTAGCCAGCTGGCCAGCTTCTCCGAGCAGGGCCACTTCAATTCAAGCAGATGAGGTCTGCCAGCTGTGGAGAGAGAACGTGTGGAGCGCATGCCCTATCTCCAGAGGGCACTGAGCACCAAGGGCTAAGCACCAGTTAGAAAAACCTTCTCTGCCCAGCACTGGCAGCAGCCCAGGAAGCAGCAAAACCATGGCATTAGAAGCAAGTCAGGAAGTCAGTCACAACCACAAAGGAAGGCCCTGGGAAGCTGCTTGAGCTGGAGTCCCCATCAGATCCTAAATACTTACTGCCAGCCCTGGTGCCTGGGTATCCCTCCAGTCCCCACAAGTGAGCAAACTGCCTTAAGGCCCTCAGAGAAATGGGGGCGGGGGGGGGGATTCCTACTATCTCCTATCCTCCCAAGAACTGGGATCCACCCTGTCCTTCCCAGTAGGAGCCTCTGACTCAGGGAAGTTCCAGGACAAGGCTCTTCAGCATATGATTTGCAGCAAACACCAGACACCCACATGTATCTTAAGCCATCCCATTCCCGTTTCTTCTCTTACTCTTCCCCCCATTAAAAAAAAAAAAACAACTTCCCCCTAAAAGCAGGCAATCTCATGAAATGAAAGGCATAGGAATGGTTTCCCCAGTTCTCACTTCCCAGAAAGTAGCCACAGTGAAGGATCAGATCCTTCCCCTGACAGCTGGCAGGAGCACCGTTTCTGTCTGTGTCCCTTTCTCACATACATGCATACACACATACACACATACATACAAAAAGCACATACACGTTCCAGTGCATTCAATGTGGTGGGGCCAGGAGAACAGTCCTGACGTCTGCAACAGGCCAGTTGGGTTGCACTAAGTCCTCCCAGTGCTTAGAAGCCACAGTTGTCCGCTCTGAACACAAACACACCCCACTAGGGGACTGGTTTGTAGGTCATTGGGAGGTGATTTTTTTCCACTTTGGATTGAGCAAGAGTAGAAGGCTGTAGAGAGGTCAACTCCCTAGAGACCCAAGAGTGGGAGGCTCACACAGACACTTATTTCTGCTTCTCAACTCTTGGGGGAGGAGGAGGAGAGTACGTCTCAGATACCCCCTCCCCCTTCCTTTTCAAATCCAACCAACTCCACTGAGAAAAGGAGTCCCAGGGTTTGGCCCCAGGCTGTTACACAAACCATCTTGCTCCCATCTTTGGCTGATCCACTGCAGCAGCTATAGACCTCTAATTCTGGGACGCCAAGCTCCTGAGCCAGGGGACTGCACTGATAGTGACAAGGGGGCTCCCAAGAGAAATTCCAGGATGAATAATATGGCTTTGTCCTCCCCTCACTACCCCACTCCAGTCTTCAGCCGGTTACAGGTCACTTCTCTGGCCTGCTCCCCTTCCACCTCCCCGCCCCAAAAGGCAGCCAGGCTACTGGGGGGAGGGAGTGTCTCAGAGGCCAGACCTAGGAACCATTCCAGCCTTTTCATTCGGCGGGAGGTGGGGAAAGCAGGGGATAGAATCCTAAACAATACAAAATCAGCCCTTTCCTCCCCCTTCCAGTCTCCTCCATTTAGTTTTCAAATTTTGCCCAGGCTTGTCTGAGGATACACTCGTTCCTGACCTCACATCAGTTAGCAATTTTGAGGGGAGAGAGGGAAGGGAGGCTGTAGATGAGGGTGGGATGGGTAGGATGAATTCAGTGAGTCAGTAGGTGAAGAGGTGGGGTGGTGGGGGGTGGGATCGCCTGCTGTGGCTTGAGCAGCCCCTGCCCCAGTCACAAGGACTCTATGGCTCAGCTTGAGAGAAAAACCACAAGAAACCAAGCACTGATCCCACACATACGGGATAGAGTTGAGGAGGGAAAAGAAGGGGAAAGCTTCTGCAAGACAGAAGAGTAAAGATTTCGCCTTCAAAGCCCAACTTCAAGGACCCCAGGTGGAAATGAGGCATAAGGACAATGCTACCCCTTCTCTTCCCTCTCCAGCATGGAGGAGTAGCGGTAGGCCGGCAAACTCCTAGTTACTTAGATTGTTTGTAACAGTTGGAGTCAGAGCACTCAGTTACCTTGGCCTTGATTCACAAAAGGAAGAGGATGCACATACATCCATCACACTTTGGAAAGGATGCCAGAGTCCCAATGGCAACGTTTAGGGGAAGAGCAGTACTGGTTAAAAGATGGGCAGGTGAAAGGACCCCTTCCCAAAGGCCTGCCTCCCAGCCCCAGTTCCCTGGGAGACTTCTCTTTGTTCACCACAAGCTAACTTTCTTAGCCAAAAAAATACAGTTGTGTACCCTGAGATGAGATTCCAGGCTATAGCAGGGGAGGCCTTGGGATGAGACACCATGGAATCCAAGCAGAAGGGACCTAACACCAGCGATGTCTTCTAGTCTTAGGCTCAACAAAAGCACCAAGTCAGCAGCCTGCTCCACAGACTGACCTAATGTCTCCTCAACCCCACTAGTCCTGAGGGTGATCTGGTGCTGAAAGAAAAGAGAGATAGCAGCCCATCTTCCATTTCTGATGGGAGCCTTCTCTGCCCAGAGAGAACATCTTCTTCCATGAACCAAGTTCCTTTAGCACCAAACTGGATCCCTTCTTGGAGACTTTTCTCCCAAAGTATAATTTAAATTTGAGATGGTTGATTAACGTGTTTCCTGTTCCCTCTTCAGACCACACCTCACTCAAGAGATACCAGGCAGCCATTCTGATTGCTTTCTTTGGTGGAGTCAGGGAGAAAAACAGACAGACAAGTGCAGAAGAGTTATACCCAGGGGAAGATGGAGAAACGAGGAGACACCTGAAACCGGCCTTGAACTCTGCTCCATCTTTTGTTCCACAAAAAACAAAACAAAACACAAAAACCATAGTTCAGCAGATAAAAGCCACTAACCACCTGTACTCCTTATGCCTTGTTTTTTCCCACCTAGCATTAGGTACAAAGGAGGATGGTGCAGAATTCCATAGAAGCCAGAAATTTCATCTTCCTCAAGGCCTGACACTTCTTTCCCACCAATAAATGGGGAAATGGTTACTTGTCTAGTGCCCCACATAACCAAGAATTTTAAACCATGGTTCTCCTGTGCTCACAGAGTGGCTTTCCAAAGAGAAGCTGCCAGCCCTCCACCTCCCCTTTTCCTACTAAGGAAGCTGCTGCAACAAGCTGACTGACCACTCTGCTTATTTCAAGATGAAGGTCAATTTACTTTTGAGTGACTTCTAGTTCCTAGAAGAAAATGTTCTTATCAGTTCTGGGTCACTGCCAGACCCAGAGCCTGCTTATAAGTTTGGTTCACTCTATAGCAGGCCTCATGCAGCTGTGGACCCAATACAATCCCTGGGAATGCCAGAGTGGCCTTACCCACCCATCCACAGTCCTTGTGAGTGATGCTAGAGATCTTGAGGCAGCCCTCCATGGGATTACATCCTCTGGGGCTGCCACTGGTCAGGGTTGAACCTGGATTTGTAACCAATTAAGTGACTGCTGAACTTGCTAACCCTTTAGTCCTTGATGGCTGTATATCCAAGATGGAAGCCCTCTTGAGTAAATTTCCATTACACTCAAATGACAGTGGTCAGAACAATGCTACCGCCGAGTCCTGATCTGTATTGGGCTCAGCAAACCTATCTTCACTCTGAGGGGAAGGAATTCACAGCCACAATCTGCAGTAAAGAGCTGCTGGAAAGGGGACCATGGGAGAAGCCGGGTAAGGTGACCAACACAGGACTGATGTCAGCACATCTGGTTTGTTTTTCCTCACACAAACCCAGACTCCAAGCTTGGGCATTAGAATCTATGCCAAACATCAGCCACGGAGAAGAGCTGGTTCTTGTGAACTGGGAGGAGTCCAACCCAACTCCCTCTTCATTCGTTAGCACTATCCTTGGGAAGATGTCATCCTTCCCAGAAAGGACTAGTTGATGGTCATCTTCAACACCTGCTGCCTCAAAGGTCCATTTGCCAGGAGCCAGCAGAAGGTCTCATCCACACAGATACACCAGCCATTCCTCCAACAGTGTTTGACCAAGGCTCCCCAGCCTGGGAGATAACTGGGAGCAGAGCAAATGTCCCTTGTTGAATTGGTCTTATGTACATAAAGATAATAAAACAAACAAAACCCCAGAAACAAACAAAAAATTTTCAAAATAATAATAATAAAAAAAACTTCACAAGACACAGTGCCAGTTTTCCTGGAGTTCTGCCCGATGTCCTGCTCCAGGAGTAGGAGTGGAAGTGGAGCTCTCCCTGTGGTCCACACACAGAGAGGGGCAGCAACGTCTCACCTAGGGCCTGCCCCATTCCTGTTCTCCTCTCTGTTCAAGGCCAAATTGTGAAGGAAGAGGAGGATCTGCCACCACACATGGTTTCGGTTCTGCTGGTGCTGGAAGACAAAAAAAAAGGTCCACCTAAGTCCCATATCAACTCCAATAAAAGTTCAGTTCCACATTTCATGGGGCAGGCACTTTAATCCTATCAATACAGCAAGCTGAAAAAAGGAGGGGAGAAAAAAGGGTGATGGAGAAGAGAAAGTTAAGTTCTCCAAAAACAATTGTCCTTCTAACATTAAAAAGAAAAGACCAGACTCTTTAGGCATTGTGCACAAGAGGATTAAACTTCTTTCCCTCTCCTGCTTGCAAGATTTTACAGAGTTTAGCCAAGAGCTGTTTTTAATCAGATTGGCTCCTGAGCCTCTCAAACCCCAGCTGCACTAACAACAAACTTTTTTTAGAAAGAAAGGGAAAAAAAGTGCCCCTTTTCCCCCCAAAGTAACACAGAGAACAAGGGAGTGGAGAGGGAGAGGGGAGGGAGTCTCCATCTGCAAGTGATTTGACACTGTGAAGGTCAAAGGGTTAATCTTCAATTTAAACCACACTGCTGAGGCAGCAAAAATCTGATTTCATCCAGTGCAAACACACACACACACACACACACACACACACACACTCTCTCTCTCTCTCTCTCTCTCTCTCTCTCTCCTGTGCAGGCTCCCGCTCCCCCTGCTTTCCCTTCCCAGCATCTCCAGCTCAGTCCTGCCCTTTTTATAGCTATTCTTGACAGTAAGCCATAAATAATCCCTCTTGGAGCCCTTTCCTACTGACTGGAGCCAATTAAACCTTAAGCAAGAGCATACTTGAAAACAAAACAAAAACAAAGCGTGCACACTACACTCCCGGAGGTTATCCCAGGTCCTACTGTTAGGCCCGAACACTGGAGGCAAAGCTCAGGGGTCAGTGGTCTCCAGGGCGCCTGCTCGTGTCCTACTCAAACAGGTAACATTTTTGGGAGCTCAGTAGGGACTGGAGAGAGCGGGCACTCCTCCACCTCCAATCGCCCATTGGCTAGGAGGGTCTTTGTTCAAGAAAGATAGACTTCTCTCCTTATCCAGCCAGAGGACTGGGTTGGGGGAGTGTGTCCTGGAGGGAGAACATGGTGGAAAGCCCCATCAGAACCTGCAATGAGGAACCCGATGTACTGGAGCTTCTGCAATGGCTCAGTCAGCAAATAAGCATTTGAAGAGAAATTTCATAAAATGTTTTCCCAGGGGACTTGAACCTCCTCTTTAAAGGAGGCTTCAACCATAGCACCAGGCGACTCAGGGTATGAGTCAGATGGCCTGAAAATCACATAGTGAGTCAGTTCCAGCAGAACTGGAAACTGACCCCAAATTTCCTGACTCCCAGGCCAATACCAATAGCAATACCATCTGGCAACCAACCTTCCCCACGTTCTCCCTTAGCATAGGTGAATTTCCTTAGGTTCTCCCTCCCCTTTGACCTTGGCCACAGAGATAAAAGATACCTTCTAGGGTCCCTGGCCTGAGTGGTTTCACCACGAAGAGCAAAGAGATGCCCTTGAAGAGAAGTCTTAGAGCCCAGTAAGCAATAGCATTCCTCTCCCCTACCCAGAGGGATAATCAGCTGGAAAGGAGGGGTAGACGATTAGAAATCACGTAGGAGCCCAAGGGAAAACAGGGATGTGACACTGAAGGAGGCCTTCAGATACGCTTCAGGGGGAGACTGATAACTTCCTCCTGTTTTGTAAACAAAGACGGTAAATGAGGAAACACACGCTGGCCTTAGAATCTGGTTAGAGTAAAGCAGCATGAAAAAGGGCTCAGATGCAAACTTGACTATTCAGGTAGGCAGCAGCCCAGCAGACCTCTTCTGGCCCCTTCCCCCAGCTGCAGGGGGACACAGCTGCTAAGTCTGGGTGGTGCCACAAGGAAGGACATAAAAAGCTGCTCTTCAGGTGGGTCAGGTTGCTGCTCCCCTGGTGAAGGCTTCCCCCATTCTCCTACACACAACCTTTGACCTTCACAATCAACCCCCACCTCCAGGGAAGCGATAAAGCTGAATCCTCCTGTTTCCACCACACTACCCCTCTTGTATTATCAGAGTAGACCACCTGCTCCTTCTTTTCACTGGGAGTGAAGAACACAGCAGGAAACCAACTCAAAACCACAGCAGAGGTAGCAGGGTATGGTAGGAGAGGTCCAGCTCTGGAGTCAAAGACCTGGGTTCAAATCCCCCTATGAAATTGACTCCCTATGGGATCTTGGGCAAGTTGCCTCCCTAGGTCCCAGTTTTCTCATCCATAAAACAAGGAGGTTGCCAGTAATACCACTTCTAGGGCTGTATCCCAAAGAGATCATAAAAACGGGAAAAGAACCCACATGCACAAAAATATTTATAGCAGCTCTCACTGTGGTGGCAAAGAATTGGAAATTGAGGGCATGACCATCAACTGGGAAATGGCTGAGCAAGTTGTGGTATATGAATGTTAATGGAATACTGCTGTGCTATAAGAAATGATGAACAGGCTGACTTCAGAAAAACCTAGAAAGACTTGTGTGGTCTGATGCTGAGTGAAGTGAGCAGAACCAGGAGAACATTGTACACAGTAACAACCACATTGTGCAATGACTAACTTTGATAGACTTAATCCTTCTCAGCAATGCAAGGATCTAAGACAACTCCAAAAGACTCACCATGGAAAATGCTAGCCACATCCAGAGAAAGAACTATGGAGTTTGAATGCAGATGGAAGCATACTATTTGTTCTCCTTCTCCTTTGTTGTTTTGTTTTATTGAACTTCATTCTCATGGTTCCTCCCATTAGTTCGAATTCTTCTTTACAACATGACAAATGGGAAAATATGCTTAATATGAATGTGTAAGTAGAGCCTATATCAGATTGCACGGGCGAGGAGGAGGAGAAGAGGGAGAAAATTTATTTATTTATTTATTTGGCTAGGCAATGAGGTTAAGTGATTTGCCCAGGGTCACATAGCTAGTAAGTGTTATGTGTCTGAGGTTGGATCTGAACTCAGGCTCTCCTGAATCCAGGGCCCCTGCTCTATCCACCCGGCCACCTAGCTGCCCCAGGGGGAGAAAATTTGAAACTCAAAAGCTTACCGAAGTGAATGTTGAAAACTAAAAATCAGTTAAAAAAACAAATCAAGGGGGTTGGACCAGATGGCCTTGGGAGGTCCCTTGCAGTGATACAGCTATGGACCTAGGCCCTGTTGACCAAACACCTGGAACTCCATTCCAGGATGTGCCGCTGACCCATCTCCAGGATCTTGGCTGGAAGGTTAGACTGACAACTAACTTAACCCAGATCAAGAATCCCCAGCACAATATCTCCCATGGTCAAAGACCTCCATGAAGGGGAATGCACTCCCCAAGCTGCCCATTAGACTTCTAGGTAACTTCCTAACAATGAGAGGGTTTCTTTCTATTCAACCGAACCTTCACTCTGCCGCCTCTCGCCTTCCACTCACTGCTCCTTGCCCTGCCAGCAGAAATCAAATGCCCTTCCAAACAGCAGCCTGTCAAAGACTTCAAGACACCTGCTGTGTCTCCCCCTACTGTGTCTTCTCTTTCCAGGCCAAACATCCCCCAGCCTTCCATCATCATGGATTCCAAACCACAATGGTTCTCACTGATTGGCCAATAATACATCCCAGCCCAAGCCTCAATTGGTCATTAGGTTTTGATGGCTCAGAGTAAGTGTAAACAGTAATTGTTTCTGCTCTGAACAGAAACTCTGAGGGTCTTCCCCTCTCAAGATTCATTCTTTTATGAAGGCAAACTAGGCCATCTTTTGCCTCAATTCTTACCTGCCTTAAATAACTGAATGGGTGTTTCCTCAAACTAACTGGGACAAACTAACTTAGCTCAAAAAGGCCAAGGTCAGGGCAGCTAGATGGCACAGCGGATAGAACACCAGCCCTGGAGTCAGGAGGACCTGAGTTCAAATCCAGCCTCAGACACAAGATACTCGCCAGTTATGTGATCCTGGGCAAGTCACTTAACCCCAATTGCCTCAACAACAACAAAAAGAGGCCAACGTCTCTCACTGCATCGGGGGCCATCTCCAGTCATCCTGACCTATGTCTCACTACTGGACTCCGGTGACTCTGGAGGAGAGTGTGAGGCTGGTGACTTTGCACTGCTCTGGCTCGCTTAAATCCTATTCACTTGCAAATCAAGACATCATCCTCATGATGTCATTGGTCCTCTTCCAGAACAACATCACATCACGGGTTCACAGTATTATAGATTCAGAGCTGGAAGGAAACTGAGAGGCTAGCCCTCTTCATGTTACAGTGAGGAAGCTGAGATCCAGGGCTGACAAGGTCACAATGGCAGTAAGTGCCAAAGGAAGGGCTGGAACCCACACTGATGAATGAGTCAATAAATGAAAAGGCATTCGCTAAGCACTTCTTCTGTGCCAAACACTGTGCCTAGAGCTGCAAACAGAAACACAAAAAGCAGCGCGGGTCCTGACTTCAAAGAGCTTCCGTTCTACGAGGAAGACTACAATACAGGGGAGTGCAGGCTAAGGCGGGAAACAGTGCCTTGTTCTAAAAAGTTGCAAAGATAATGAGTGGAGTCTGAGGACAATAGAGTGAAATGTTCTTTCTAGGAATGGCAGTATTGATTTGATTACTGACCTCACAGCAAGCAGTGAAAAATGGGGAGGGTGTAAACAAAGAAGGAGGACGGCATGAGGGAAGTGTAGAGCAGAGGATCTAGTGCGGAGGGACCTGGATGACCCACTACCAATCAGGAGCACAAGGCCCCAAGGTTGGAGCTAGAGTACTTGGTCTGAGGCAAGAGTAGGGAGCAGAAGCAGGAAGACGGTCTGACAACTGTACCAGGCTGCCTTCTAGATCACCCTCTAGCTTACTATCGTTCTTTCTAAAATGTGGCATCCAGAATGGAGCACAATGCTCTAGCTCTGATCTGAGCAGGACAGCGTGCAATGGGATTTCCTATGTTCTGGACATTACGCTGTCCTTAATTCAGTCTAAAATCACATTGGCTTTCTTGGCTGCCATTTTGCTGAGCTGACTCGCACTGAGCTTGTGATCCA